CATGCTAAACAATTTGTTTTTTATTATCTATTTTATATGCCTTGTATGGATTTTTGTTTCATTTCTAGAAGAAAAGAAAAACACAAAACAATCTTTTAACTGAATAACATTGGCATCGAATATTGTCAAAGTGTTTGCAAGTTATTAGCCGAAAAAATCCTTTTGAATCAAATACATTTAAATAAAAATGATATCTGTTCGTAAAAACATCTTCAACTCGATTTTAAGAATTATTCATACCATGACAATAATCGTTTTTTTATTAGATTAGCACATATATTTTTATAAAGAACCAATTACTTTTGAAACATTGTGGCCTTTGACATTGTCTGATTTAGAAACCTTTTCACGTTCGAATGATCATTTTTGACTTCAATTTTTAGCGTTTCAATCTTAAATTTAAATAACAAAGAGCTTAAAGGTCTTCAGTGGTATTTTGTCCGTCCTCTATCGTCCATCGTATTTTAAACTCATAACTCCTCCTGCAGCATTATTTTTGAAAAACAATTCCTGTATGAAAATTAATCGCCTAGAAAATAGGTATATAACATGTATAATTGTAAAATTGATATCTTCTAAATCTATAATATCCTAGCCCTATTGCAAAAATGGCCAAATCACAATGTGACAAATTGAATGATGCCAATTTATAGCAGATTACTCAAGATGAGCGATTTAGGGCTATCATGATCATATTTCTCTAGAATATTCCTGTATTGTTTTGCATTTTTTCCCTAACAACAAATTAAAGATCTACATCGGGAGTACTTTTTTATTTTTATACTTTATATCTTAACAAACGATCTTTATCATATGATATACGAAACTGAAAACACAATTTTCCTATTTAATTTTTGAATTGGTGATTTAACTATCATGGTAAATATAATACATGTATGTTTTTGTAACCTTACGCAAAAAGTTTAAACAGATGTGGTTTCACCGGAAATGGATCGGGACAAAGTTCTATTCGGTGCTCCTATACGCATGCAATCTACTTGTTGCAATTGTTTACAGGTTTACTTACAAAAATTTCCTTTGAGATTTTCCCTTTTAAAACAAATTAACCAAAACGAACCCTTGACACAATTTTAAAAATGTGGCTTAATGACTAGGGGAATTTTACTTTGAAATTTGGGGATATAAAAACCTAAAGGGGTTTTTCTTTTTTGTAAATCCATATCCCCCTTTTCTAATTTTCAAATTACCTTAAAACGTATCACCGCAAAAATGGTGTTTTTAAAATGTAAAGGGATAAAATATAATTTAAACGAATATCAGTTTTAAAAAAATTTCTTTTACTTTTACTTTTTTAAAAAAGGGAAATTTCATTAATTTTATAATGCCCTAAAATCAACATTGATATATTCATCTAAATAAAGCGTTGAGTATACAGCTTACTTTATCAGCTGTTTACTTTTTCTTTTTATAAAAAAACAATTGAAATAAATAAAACAAGGTATGAAATGTGTACGTTGCATGTTATTAATATGTGCATAATAAAATGTTTTCACTTAAATCCATGCATTATTTATAATTAAATAGTATCATAACCATTGTTGAGGTGAAAAACACCCACACGGTATAGGAAAGGTCAAAACAAGCATTGGTTTATGGCAAATTCAAGGTAGATGACGGTCAACAAAAAGGGTAATTAAAATCATGAGTTTTTAGCGTGAACCGACAAACAAAGGAAAAATCAAAATAGGTTACCACTTGAATATTCAGTTTTGCCCAATAACTTGAGTTTGTTTTGCCCTATTCCCAGCAGGCACATCAACGTTGTTTCAACGTTGAATTATGGTCAGATTTCAACGTTGAAATAAGGTTGGATTTATATTCGGATTTAAAAGTTGAAACAACGTTGAAATTTAAACGTTGATACAACGTTGCAGCATCAACGTTGTGCCAACGTTGAAGTTTCAATGTCATTTCAACGTTGACAACCCACCATACTTTAATTTTTGGATATAAATCAAAGTCACCAAGTTTAACAAAATATCAAGACAATATTTAATACTTATGATATTTTATTTCAAAAAACAGTTCAAGTGCAGATTAAATTCACTTTAATAGTTTTAACAATTAAGCTACACAATTTGTGTATGTCAAAGTGTTTGAGTACTTTTCTTTGGCTGTCTCTTACTGCTTCTGCCAAATAAAAATAAAGAAGTTTGTAGTTCAAAGTGACTTGGCCAATCTCAAATATTATACATATAATTACTCAACTTAGTGATTTTTTTTATCTTAAAATGCTTATCTCAAAGATTAACATCATAAAACAGCCATAGAAATTTGAAACATAGCTAAGTTTCATATTGACAGCAAATACTGTACATAAGACAACATAATCTTTTAAAAAGAAGCTATTTAAAAGTCTCACCTATGATTGATAAGAAAAACTGCTCCCCGTCAGTTACTTGCAGCATACTCCCAAGAAATTATCATTCTAAGCTCTAGCTAAGACCATTTTATGCAGCATCCTGAAATCAACAAACATGTAAATTTTATATTAATAATATTACAGGAATATTCTGATAATATATTTTAAGACAAGATAAATATCCATTAGTTGAAAAAAATATACTTTGTATTGTAAAGAAATTCAAATATATAAATTAATAAGAATTAATTTCAATTTAACAAACCTGACAGTTCTTTTTATGTTGAATGTATGGTATACAGGCTACAGCTACAATACTCTAAATTTCAGCCAGGACCAGGATCTAGAATATAAAATAATACATAATAACATAGAAATAGATTTATTATTCCCTATAAATTTACGACTATTAAACTGTATCATTCAACTTTGTTTTTTTACTTCATGATAATGTATTTTTTTCAAACTAAGTAACACTGATTTATACTATCACTAAAATATAAACATAGTTATATCGACTAATCGTAAATTATGTGGGCCGAACTACTTTATAGGTTTCAATTGATTAAATTTTAATTAGGATATAATACAGAAAAAATGTTTAATAATATGAAAAATGAATTTAAGAAAGACAAGATTTGTAAAATCATAAATTGCCAAAGACATCAATAACTTTGTGTTTACAGGGCCTACCGAACTTAGGTCGCGAAAACGTGTCAAATCAGCTTAATCATGTGTTTTTATCTCTCATTTATTTCATAAAGTAAATTAAATTAGAATTTTAAAAATAAATAATAATATTTTAGAAAATAATCAGTAAACCAAAGTAAAACATTGCGGTAATACCTCCGAAATCCAAATAAATTGCCGAATCGTGTTGTAACAGCGCCACCATTTGCACGAACGATGATCATATACAACAAACAAAATCATAGACCGCAACAATTACTTTCCCTGGGGTTTTGACTAATATCAATTAATTAACTAATATTATTCATAAAGATCTAAAAAATAAACAACAAACAACAAAACATATTAACAAATATTTAAAACGTTAATAGAAAGTGAAAAATTGTTTCCAACTTCATTTGTTTACGCGCTAATTTTGAATATCCGGAAAAAGATTACACGCAGATTTTCCTGACAAAAATCACTAACAGTCTAATTCAATAACACAAAATTAGAGTTATACAAGTTTATTTAATGATTAAACTAAATGTAAAACTTCGACCATAAACAACGTTGAATCAACGTTGAGTATACGTTGGCAATATATCCGTATGGTCGCCCATAGTTGAATATTGGTTGAACAACGTCACGACCATATTTCAACGTTTTTCAACGTTGAAACAACGTTGAGTGCCTGCTGGGTTGACTCCAAACTTGGTATTTAGGTAGCTTATATAAAGATGCAGCTTAGGATTGCAACCAAGGTGTCTATGTTCAAGGTTAAGGTCACTTTTGCTCAAAATAAAAATTGAGATTTCGCTCAATAACTTGAGTTTGCTTTGGGTTATTGACGCAAAACTTTTTATTTTGGAGGCCTATATCAAGTTGCAGATGTCTGTGATCATGTTCAAGGTCAATGTTGCTTAAAATAGAAGTTGAGTTGTCGCGTAATTACTTCAGTTTGCTGAGACCTTTTGACACGGTTGCTAAAAATAGAAGTTCTGTTTCCGCTCATTTACTTGAGTTTCCTTAAACCTATTGTCACGCACTTTGCTTTGTAACTTATATTATGATGCAGCTTGGGATTGCTACATGGATATCTTGGAGCAAGGTCAATGACACATGGTTACAATATATTTTTCAGCTTTTACTTAATAATTTTAGTACACTTTGAGCTAATGAAATTTTACTTGTAGCCTAAATCAACATACAGCCAGGCATTGCTTATGAGGTATCTGGTATCTGGTATATCTTTATTTAAAACTATTGAAACCAACTTTCTGTGTAGGTACAAACAACAACATCAATTTTTTCGTCATTGCCATAGTTCATTCCTAATTCCTGTCACATTAATACTTGTCGTTGAAAATCTAGTTTTCGTCGCATTGAATCGCTTCTTGTTCTAGTTGTAAAGGACGGGCAATTATGAAGCAAACTTAAGCAGTTATCTGAAAACAATTTGAGAGTATTCTTAATTTTCGTTATTTTATTGATACTATATATTTCTATATTTTATTTCAGGAGGTACCAAAACGAAGAAACGTAAGCTTTATATGTTTCATATATAAAAATGTCAATATTTCAACATTGATTGAAATAATTCGGAAATGAAAGAAAGAACATACTTTTATGATGTACATGAGAATTTTGATTTTGGTATCTTCATCCGACGACATATACATGTACAAACATACTCTACTATTAATACTGACTAATTAAATGTTGTTCAACCTTGTGTTAGATAAGTCAGAATAGAAACATTCAAATTTTGATGCGACATTTCATATAATTGTTATATAAAGTTTGAATAAAATGTGACAATATAGAAAATAAGTTGGCGCTCTTGTGTTCAGTTCTTAACTGGATATAATGTTAGTGTTAATGCATTTACATCAATGTCGTTTGTACGAGTTTTAGCATTTCCAAATTCGCTTGGCACTGAACTTAATAATTATGTACTTTACAGGTAAATGAATACCGTATTTTGAGAAGGTTTCAGATTTTCTGTATTTTAATTAAAATAGTTCAAGAATATGTCGATATATTATATCATAATGTAAAATATATAAATATACTTCGTACATTTGCCTTTGGACCTTAAATTTTTATTAACATGTATGTGTAACACAAGAAATTGTAATACGTTTTGGACCTTACTTTTTCGTAGAAACAATTATTCACGTCAAGTTGATAATATGATTGATTCATATCTTTAGGACATTAAAGGGAGACACAGGCAAAATTTGCATTTCTTCGTTTTGATTATTTTATTCATTATTCTGTAAATGTCCCAAAATAAATACACTAGGCAGTCGTTGGAATATAACTTTACTCCTTTTAAAGAATAAGATGCTGGTTTTCTTACTTGACCAACGTGGGTCAGTTTAGAGCGTTAAGATTTCACAATGGTTGCCACAGTGAACTCTGGAAACGTTAAAAAACATGTCAAATGAATGACTTATACTTGTCTCAGTCATTCAATATCCACAATATCTGTAATTGTACCTTCCAGGGTTTGTCCAATTCACATGGCTTGTTTTAAAACTACTTGGTGATTCTGTCGGCGTCTAAAATTCGTTCAATATATCTAGATATTTTACGCTTCAAACTCATAATATATAGAATTTATGCAGAAATTCAAGCGTGATTTAATTAAATTAATTTTTTTTATATTTTAAAATTAATTTTAATATCTATGTCATTTATTTGCCTGAGTATCCCTTTAAAACATGATATGTACAACAAGTAGGTACTACATACTATCAAATGGTTGAACAAGAACTATAAACCTTACTCAATTTGTGCTAGCACATATTTCAGATTTAGTTTCATTAATTTAACAAGATCAACACTTAAACTGACGTTTATATCTCTGCAGACACATGGACATATTTGTGACATACTTTTTTCAGCTGCATTTTACAGTTTCAATATCTAATGATATACAAATTTTAACGTTTGTTTGTGATATGCAGGCTTCAGAACCTCAGTTCCCCTTTCAAAATTTCGTTTTTTTAGTTCCGCCCATTGCTTTCTCGTTTCGGGCACACGCATTCTTTTACTTGGGGACCATACACACTTTCTGTGGAATAGCATGTCAGTGTCACATTAAAGGCTCCATATGAACCGCCGTATGAACACATTTGCGGTTGTTTCTAAATTTAAAATGTCACCATTTTCGTGTTAAAATTCTATTTCAGCAATTGCTAGCGAGCGTGGACCAATACCGTCCATGAACAGGATCAATCAAACCGAGCCTGTATTATTTTTTTTTTTCATTTTGACGTATTGGACTTTCTTTGTGTATTCTTTTTTTCTCTATTTGAACAAAGGAATTTTAATGACAAAACCAAAACTTAAAAAATTAGAAATTACCTTAACCGTAAAACTACTTTGACCGTCAAGGTTTCGTTAGATGTATGTTGTAAAGTTGTCAGATTAAATTTTTCGTTTACAGTTTTGATCCTTTTTTGAACAAAAACCACTTATGACAACGGTCATGAGAAATGTTTCATATATTGCAAACATCAACATTAATAACACCGACATTCTGCATAATTTGAGTATGACCTTGATCTATAAATGACCTTGAATGTCACTGTATAGATTTCTACTATATTTTGTTCAAGAAAATGATCTTTTCTTTGAAACATCTACATTTCTTCTCTGATTTAGAAATAAGAAAAAATCTAGCGTGGCCCCACTTAGCGGTGTCTCTTTTTAAAACTGTTTACACGGACATGGCTTTGATTTAAAGTTGTTAATTTATAACATTGTTTTTGTTAGCACATTTTTATACTGTTATCAATAAACCTCTGTGAAACGAAAATAGTTCACATTTTTATTTATAAATTTTGATAATTAAATAGATCTTTCTGAACGGTATCTCACATTTAAAACATTTTTCGAAACCTTTTTCATATTTTGCCCTACAATTAATGAAACTTTTTCAATGAGACTATTTTAAATATCTTTATGAACTTCCTTTAAATAAATATTTTATATATTATTCATACTTGTGTAGGTATCATTATCCTTTTGAACTATCATTTCTTGCACGGTAACACAAAACAGGCTATATATTTAATACCAAAAGTTAAACTGTTATAATATTACTTTACTCATTTATGCATGCATATTGCAGTCAGCATCAGTATTGGAGGGTCTTGATGTATTCGATAATGATGTTCTTTACTATGACATTTACCAAAAAGCTTTATCTGAAGGTGTAGAAAATGATAAAACCATCCGAGTTAATGTTGTTGGTAATTTTGCCCAAGGAAAAACATCATTGTCTAATATCCTTGTTGGAAAACAATCGGTGGACGTTCAGAGCACCAATGGTGTTGAAATAATACACTGTAAATACTCTAATGATCATGAAAGTGTCACGTTTTGTTCACTGAGCACTTCACCTGGAGACAAAGAATACCACAGACGTATTGCTTCATTAGTACAGATTGAGAAAGATGAGAAAAAATCTAATCAAAGAACAGATAATTCAAAATTTATCAACTTAAACGAAACAAGTACAGAAAGTAACGTCAGAAGGACAGGCGTTAAGAAGCATACCGGAAAGAGCTGTCCTCTTTCAAAAGATTTTCTAAAGGTTTCAATGCTGATCGACATGAATCAGTGTGTCCCGTTTAATGCGGATGGAGATCTACAGTTCTGGGATTTTGGGGGTCAGTTTATCTTTTATGCAACACATACCTTATTTCACAGCAAGACTTCTGTTTATCTCGTTGTTTTCGATTTAACCAAACCGTTATCAGCTATTGTAGAGGATACAGAATTTCCGAATGAATCAGTAAGAAAAAGCATACAGCAGTATGCAGAATACTGGATGAGATCCATACATTCTTACGTTGGGTCCGACGATGGTTTACAGCCTCCAGTCATTCTTGTAGGTACTCATAAAGACTTACTCGAAGGCGATGACAACATGAGGCAGAAATTTGCAGACGATTATTTTGATAACATAAGGAAACTTTTCGAAGACACGCCAATTATTAATCATATTCAGGCAAAGGATTTTGCAGTCGATTGCACCAATCCTAGCGACAGTAGCATTGTTGAACTGCGTAAAGAAATCATACGTCTTGGTGCTAATTTAGAAGAGAAAAAAATTCCTGCAAGGTGGCTACCTCTTGAAAAGGAATTGCTTGCCATGAAACATAGAAAGATAATTATGTATAGCGAAGTAGAGGTAATTAATGCACAAACAGACATTCCGCTGACAGATAAGGAACATATTAAAGTGTTCCTTCTCTATCAACATGCAAAAGGAAACCTATTTTACTTTGACGAAGAGCCACTATCAGCATACATTGCGCTGGATACTCAATATGTTATTGACGCATTTAAATGTATAATAACATCAGAGAGATTTTGCAAGAAAGATCCTACATGTCGCCGTCTCTGGAAGACTCTTACACAGGAAGCAAAATTAGAAATGCAATTGCTAGAGAGAGTTTGGAGTACCGATGAAAAAAACAACTTTCTGAAACACAAAGACGTGCTACTGATGTTGATGCAAAGGCATTATATCATTTCCGAAGCATTGAGTTATGACGACAAAACAGAAGAGACTAAAGGACTTGGCTATTATGTTGTACCATGCTTCCTTCGCTTATACAGAGCTAATGAGCCTGTAAAAGAATTACTTTCTGGAAGACAACAGACGTTGCTGAAGTTTGTCATGTCCTTTACTATCTCTCCACTAGTGCAGATAGTGTATTATCGTGTCATTGCAGCTTTGGTTGGAAAATGGGAGATAGTATCCATTAACAGTCCCGAACAAGAGAAGCAGGTATTGCTGTATGAAAATCTGGGTGTATTCAAACTTGACCGTTACCATGTTGGAATAATTGAACATCATCAGGGTTTCATTGATTTAAGTGTCCAGAAACTTTGTAAGTCGGGTATTAATGCTGCCATTGTCGACTTGTTTCGTCGATTTGTGGTTTCAAACGTCATGAACGAATTTAAAAAGCATAGACAGGCATCAAAAAAACAAAGAAGCCCTTTTGAGATTTGTTTCAAATGCAACGAAAAAAGTCACTGCTTTGGTGGAAGTCAACAAACTGTGTCATTGGAAGAGCTTCAAGAATCAACGGTTGAACCTTGCCCAGATATGATCAAAGGCCATGAAATAAGTACACGACAGGCAATTTCTGAATGGTTTCAAGACCACTTGAACATAAGATTGAAAAATGATTACGTGTTGGGAGAAGAACAACTCATCAAACTGTGTAACACAGTAGGAAAAAATTGGCAGATACTTGGAATCAAACTTGGTTTAAGCAATGTACAAATAGAGCAAATAGAATTGGATAACCAAACCACAGGATTGAGGATATTTAAAATGCTTTTGAAATGGACTGCTCAGAGGCAAAAAGAGGCCACATTCAATACACTTATTCAAGCTATGAAATCAGCAACAGAAGTATCCGTTGACTGGGATAAAGTTAAAAACATCGGCGAGGAAATAGAATCAAAAAATAGCACCGGACTTTAGCACTACAGACAAGTAAGAATATATAAATTTGCCTCTAGAAGTTTCAGAGACAATTTGTAAAAGTTATTGAGCGACTTAGCAGAACATTCATATAGAAATTTCCTTTGAGACTCAATTACAAGATATTTGTCAAGACAAAAAATAACAAAAACAAAACAACAACATATACTGATTATATAATGAAAATGATATTTACTTATGTGATATTAATTTTGATATTCCATGTTTTCAGCTGAACAATAGATAAGTATGTTGTGTATGTCAGTATTTTTGATGAAATCAGTTTATTAATTAGTTTCCGATTCATTTACAATCTTTCATTTTTATTGAAGGTACTGTATACAAAAACTAAAAGACAAAACATGGCAATGACTGTGTTACTCAGATGAGCTGAAAGGCGTCGAATTTCTTATTGGAGTATCCAAACATAGTATCGAAACAAAAATATTATAATCGTATAAAAGAAGGTGTTGCAAAAAAACAACTTTTAATTAGAATATGGAGATATTGTTGGAAATTTGATATGATATAATTATTCAATTAAAATATAATGTTTGCAATAATCGTTTAAAATGCTGTACTGCTGTACAAAGGAATTTAGATAATTAATAAAAATTGAAGTGTTATGAGACTTGGATGAAATAAAAGTTCTTTGTGTATCTAACTATACGCTCAAAACCGTATATCAACAGAGACAAAACGAAAAAATATTTGCAACATTTTTCGCAATGTTAAAAAGACCTTATTGCATTTGTTTTCACTACAGTACTATAATCTGTAAATGAACTTCGAAACACAGGGGTGTATCTCCAAGAAAATAATTGCAGAGTGTTTCAATTTAGTTTGTCATTTGGGTTATAGAAATAATAAAACACTATCCCTGTTGTTAAAACATGTTTCCCCTAAAGAATTGTTACTAATCTGCGAGCATCTGTAAATGGCTTCTTCCACTTTCGTCACTAGGCTTCTTCCACTTTCGTCACTATTTATATCTTAGAACAGGACGATTTGTGATAAACATATTTCATGAAACAACGTAATTTGCTTTATTTTGCTTTACTATTATTATAGTTTATTTTATAATATTTATTCTTGTTTATTTTGATCGATCACTTTACAACATCTGAACATGTTTGATGTATTTGTTATGAATATGTAGAAGACAAAATAGTGAAGCTGTGTTATCATGTGTATGAAATAAGAGCTGCTGAAACAACATGGTAGCCTTTGGCTAATAATTCTTCACGTGATAAAATAGACAACTGAAAATAAAACTAAAATTGGATAAATTACCGTCATATTTGTATCTTATTATTTCACAAGAATTTCGCATATTTAATAAATGTAACATTTTGTTTGTTATCGCACATTACCATATTTGTGCATTTTAACACATATCTCTTGTAAATTTTTTTCTGACAGCACACTTGTTTAAGTTTGTTTTTATCATGACTTGATTAAAATGATTTATCTGTGGATATTGAAAGACATATTGAGCTGTGAATGTGGAATATAATGTTAAAATATCATGTCTCCAGACTCATGCTAATTTTCATGAAAAAAAAAATGAAAATGATTTTTATGAGGAAAACATTTGAAGAGAACAAATACATTATTTTACTCGTTGCAATTGACACTCACGATTCACTTAAATTACCCAAATGAGGTCAAAATAGGCAAGAAGAGCCCTTACTGCGTTAGTCACGCAGTAAAAATACGGTGCTAAATACTGCAATATCGGTCATTAGTTGCACATAACATGTATATAAGTACTTTTATCTTAGATTTTTTAACTTCACTAAACCTCTTAATACGTTTTCTTCAAGTTTATTTTTCTTAAAATATTTTGGCTCATCTGGATGCGCGCAATTCTAATTGATGTGCAAAACTTACATACTTTGTTAATTTGATAGAAGTAGTCGTTTTATAGTACAATTTCATTTTTTTACCTGTTATGTGATACGTACTCAGTGTATATCATTTAATACATAAATTAACCTCAACATAAGTCTTTTACAATCGTTTATCAATTAATAACTAACTTGATTATTTTTTCCATCTTTTAAAGTTTAAATAAATGATATACCTGGGATGATGTTAAGAGTGAAGCATATCAAAGATAAAATTAGAATTTGATGTTGGCGAGTGAAGAACTTTGTCAAAAGAATTCTGATTTTTTATCCCATGTTCCTTTTATATATTATTGTTAGATATTTCTAAGCAAATATTGTTATGATACACATTTAGTTACGTCATCAAAAATGAAATAGATAATCAAAATATTTAGCACTCTGCAAAATGACTGACCTTTCACACAGTTTATTTTTACAAAGATAAATAATACGTATAATTAATTAAGCACATCTGCAACAAAAAATAATATATAGACAAACAATTTGATCTCTTATGCAATTAAAGCTTTGCTTGTATACTGATATATTTTTGATAATGTATGTACTGAATGCACTGTTAATTATGATGATTTCTCTTCCTTAATTTCTATACTCAACGCACAGTAAATTGCGATGGTTTGTTTCTGCTAATGCATGCCATCAAATAACTGTTAATTATGATGCTTTTATCATGCTAATTAAATGGACTCCACAGAGGCTTTTTTTGATATGACGAAACTGAAAATAAAATATATTTTCGCAAATAATGTTCCTTTCCATTTGACATCCGTCTAGACCAATTACATGTGTGTACAATTTTAAATCATTCTCCAAATTCTGTTTTCCAGAACAATTATTATAACTATGAAAAATGATTCAAAACTGAAAGGCGTTGAAATCGGACTAAGGATAGCATAAACATACAATTTTCGAGAATATTTTTCAAATTCCTTTCGACATTTTACTTTTTTAGGTGCCCCTCACCCCCCCCCCCCTGATTTCATTCGTACGAAATTCAAATGTTGTCTTTAGGCTTTTCTACGTCAGCGGAGTCCCTTAAATGAACTCAAAGCTTTGTTTGATTATGATGATTGTTTTCAGTTAATTAATTAAAGCTTTATTGAGTTGATGATTTGTGTATGTTAATGCATTTTATCATATTTTGATGTATGTTTAGAATTAGTATAGTTATAAGTATACATACACAATATAATTATGATGTTAAAAGTTTACATGTGTCATGCTAATGTTAAGAACCTTAATCATGATTATTCATATTGCATGTTATTAATGTCACTATTCATTCCGAAAATTCTTTATTGGATTTGACGAGTTTTACCATTTATTTTCTTTCAAAGTCATGTGTAGAAGGCTTACACTATTTTAACAATAAATTAAATCAATTAAAGTCAAAGCAAGCCATCTCAAAAAAGTAGTGACATGTTCTACGAGCATTGCTTATCTTTATGCACAAAACAAATAATTTTTGTTTAACATTGTTTCTTTTTGTTTTAAGGTTTCTTGCTCTTAGTGGAATAAATGAAAATAAAGTAAGGCAATCCATGAGTATAGAAAATTAAATATAATCGTGTTGTCGTTCGTTTCTGTTAATACTGATTGTTGGGATGTATTTATTATTTTTATTTACCTAATACAAGTGTCATATGTAATGTTCATTTATGTTTATGATAAAATTGATGCAATTGTTGTTAAAATCATCTTGCCAATAAGTAAAATTCAATTCTTTTTTCATAATGAAATTTCCACAGCAAGTTAACATGGAAAACCTCAGTCAGTGTCTACGTAACACTTTGAAAATATACCATAAGGCGGACTTTTTGTAGTTGATGGGCTATAATAGTGAAGGCAAATATACATAATTACGTTAGGTGTTTCAAAATATATGTGTTATATTTATCGCCCTTCTTTAACTGCTAACATTATTACAAAGTACTGATTTAAATTTATTGCAAACAAATTCCATTTGAACAGGTACCGCTACAGTGTCTAGGGTTTTCAATACATGTTTAATTTTTACTTTTGTAAAATAAAAATTCATACACTGTAAATAAATCAATAATTTAAAGACACTTCATTTCTGTTAGCTTAAATTAGTAAATAATTATATAAACGACACTAGATATCCACCTGCGGCCTTTTGTTTATATATTTTTGGTTCATTTTAAAAAGTAATATAATTTTGAAACAATTTCTTTTAAACTAGGCAGTGGGATATTTAGTAAATTAATTGTAGGTATGTGTTTATGTTTGTTTTATTTTTTACTAATGATATAATACTTAATGTATGCTGTAAAAAAATATTATATTTTGACGTTTAATGAATATTAACCATTTTATCAAAAAAAAAAAAAAAAAAAAAAAAAAAAAAAAAAAAAAAAATGAAAAAGAAAAAGAGAAAAAAAAAGATGAAAAGAAATGCTAACGATATTTGCGGTATAAACAGTTTCGAACGGAAAAAAATGTTACTTTTATACGTTTTAAATCTCTTTTTTTTTGTTTGATTGTTTTCATTATTTTTTTTATTTGTTTGTTTGTTTGTAGTTTGTATTGTATAATTATGATACTGACTTTAAAGTCGAATATGCACAGTGCCTAAATTCAGTAAAAAACATATTTTTGTCATAATACATTGACCGGCATCACATTCAAAGTGATAGTGCAACATTGCCATATTGATAAGTGATAGAAATGGAAATACTTATTTAGATATACGTTGTTTTCAAATAATTTGTTTCTGTAATCAATGAGAATAAAAACGCTGACACATTAATTAATTAATTAAAGCTTTATTGAGTTGATGATTTGAGTATGTTAATGCATTTTATCATATTTTGATGTATGTTTAGAATTAGCATAGTTATAAGTATACATACACAATCTTATTATGATGTTAAAAGTTTACATGTGCCATGCTAATGTTCAGAACCTTAATCGTTATTATTCATATTGCATGTTACTAATGTCACTATTCATTCCGAAATTCTTCATGGGATTTGACGAGTTTTACCTTTTAGTTTCTTTCAAAATCATGTGTAGAAGGGTTACACTATTTTTACAATTAATTAAATCAATTAAAGTCAAAGCTAGCCATCTCAAAAAAGTAGTGACATGTTCTACGAGCATTGTTTATCTTTATGCACAAAACAAATAATTTTTGTATGACATTGTTTCTTTTTTTGTTTTAAGGTTTCTTGCTCTTAGTGGAATAAATGAAAATAAAGTAAGGCGATCCATGAGTATAGATGTTTTACGAAAGAAAATTAAATATAATCGTGTTGTCGTTCGTTTCTGTTAATACTGATTGTTGGTTTGTTTTGTTTATTTGTCTGATACAAGACTGTCATCCGTAAAGTTTATTGAAAGTTAACATGGAAAAACCCTGTCAGCGTCTATGTAACACTTAAAATATACCATAAGGCGGACTTTTTATGTTGTTAATTGGCTTAAATAATGAAAGCAAATGCGCAGAATTACGTTAGATGTTGCAAATATATGTGTTTTATTTATCGTCCTTTTTTGACTGCTAGCATTATTACAAAGTTTTAGAGCTTTAAAACACCGTACTTATTTAAATTTATAGCAACAAACAAATTCAATTTGAACGGATACCGCTACAATGTCTAGAGTTTTCAATACATGTTTAATTTTTACTTTTGTAAAATATAAAAATTGATACACTTTAAATGAATCAATAATTTAAAGACACTCCATTCTGTTAGTTTAAATTAGTACATAATTAAATAAACGACACTCGATATCCATCTGCGGCCTTTTTTAAAATATATTTTTGGTTCATTTTAAAAAGTAATATAATTTTGAAACAATTTCTTTTAAGGAAGGCAGTGGGATATTTAGTCAATTATTTGTAGATATGTGTTTATGTTCTTATTCTCTTAATAATGATATAATACTTAATGTATGCTGAACATAGATTTGTATATTGACGTTTAATGAATATTTACCCTTTTATTAAAAAGAAAAGAAACGTTTTTTTACCTTATCAATTTAATAGGGTGTTTATTCATATGTTTATCACTCAGTAATGACCCGATGATTTCAGAGTTCTGAAAGTAATGTAATATCAAATTGCCATATTTATTACATTGGTGCAACTGTAAAGACTATGAAAACATTACAAAACAATGAAGAATCTTATGATTTAGGCCGTATAATAAGTGAGCATATCCGATGATTTTACAAAAAATCGTTCTATTGCAAAAGGAAGTGCATTTTTGTCGATTTTATTGTTAAGATATGTGATGTTTATTGAATAGATACAATGGAACTCTTACAAAATGCGCAATGCGACGAAATTGTACAGTGTCAAGACTGGGTTTGATTGAGACTAAAAATAGACTTAGTAGTAAGCCTATGCCCCTTAAAAACGCATAATCAATGGGCATAACTTCCTCAAATGGAAATATGACAGGGAATAAGATGTTATGAGTATGCGTATCACAGACCAAAAGACACATTGAAAAATCTGTCAATATCCTTATGATGATTCAAAAATATTGTAGTAGGAATACTAGAACCAATCCCCATACATACTTATTCTAGTGGCTTTTTCGTAGATATAAATTTTAAATACATGACACTGATTATCTCCCCAAATATCCTCTGGCCGTATGTGTCTACAATTTTCATTTACGCCGATGAGTTCTTCCTGGTACCCAGCTTTAAAATCAGATAATCGTCAGCAGACGCTTGTTTGAGTACCAGCGCCAAATTCAATCTTCTTGAACAACTGTCAGGCCAATCCAGAAAAAAAAGTAAAAATAAATCATCAATAATTTTCTAATATTAATTTCTCCGATGAATTGATAATATGTTCAAACAAGGTTCGCATTATGTTCACATTAAAAATTAGATAAGCTATAAAATGCATGATAATGCATAATCTGACACAAAATAAGTATAATGGACACGCATTATTAAAGACACGAATATAATACTTAAAGATACTTTGTAAATATATTACACACGGGACAATAAAAATGTGAGTATAAAACTAGGTAACTGAACTTCTTTACATTATTATGATACAATAATGCACTCAAAATAATTGATTATCTAAAATAAACTTTATTGTACTACTTTTTAAAATATGATTCGATCACATAGCTCCTTTGCAGTCATTCAGTTTTAGTTAAATCATATGAGTCATACGTTTAAATAATGAAGCAAATTGAAATAAAAAAAACTTCAATGCTGTGGTCGTTTCTTATCCTTGTTTTCTTGTTTACATAAAAGCTATCATAGCAAGAAAGATCGCACGTAACAGAAAAAAAAACGTACGTAACAAAAAGTATTTTCATACTGATCTAGCAACAATTATAATTACAGCCATCTATACTTAGTCTTCAAATTTAATCTTAACGTATCAACCAAGGTACGTGTATGTTAAATGTCTGGGTGATTTAAACACAATATCTGTTCACTACTTAATATTCATCCAATATTATTTGCAATTATGATTATATTAAGAAGAAAATCATGATTCATGTCCAGCTTGTTTTTCTCAGAACTACTATAGGGTGCACTCTTCATATATACGTTAAAGCATGATTTCAATTTTACTGGGTTTAAGATAAATACGCTTTATAGTTTACTTCCGTAACAAAGTCAATGATATGTTTTGAGCTACAGCCAACCAATGCTTAGATCTTTCTTTCTAACAGTCATTACGAGTAATTCCAGCAGGAATGTATGCATATGTAATGAGTGACGTATCTTCCTTTATTTGCTAGAATATCGAGACAGGGATGGAACGCCATATAAATATATTGAATCCACATAAAGAATAATTTGATATATTATTTATAAAAAGTTGTTTAGGTACTCAATAATATTGTCATATAACAGAACAGTTACATATGACCACATAAACAATATACATGTCCACAAATATGAATCTTCATATAACAAATGGTCACCTCAACAAATAGCCGCAAGTCTAC